GGGAAGGAAGGCCTATTGCACGAATCTTCGTGCAACGGGCATCTAGTATATATCTATATATATGCATATATATGTATATATATGAACTATGTCTAGGAAACAACCTTGGGTATGGTTACTGGCACATAGAACTGATTGGAGCCAAATAGAAGTCAGCTAAGTTTTTGAGAGAAGCTTATTGCTAAAGAAACCACGAACCAAAACAAAATAAGCTACTCATTGTCTGAGCCTTAGAACAGTATTTGGACACAGGCTTCGAAGGCTCCTAGGAGAGTGTGCTCCCCAACACTGACCTCAGATGCAGCCATAGAGAATAATGGACAGGAAGGGCAATAGGCCAGGGAGCTCTCCTATAAAGCAAGGTGCTGGCCTAATCAATGTCTGCAAAGCAGGATTCCACAACTAGTACAGAGCAGTGACTGCTGTGTCTCCCATTCTTCCTCTTTCCATATGGGAAGGTTGATGGTGCCTATCTTTTTCCTGCTCCTTCGTTGTATGTGGGATGTGGCGATCAGGGGCAGATAACTTGCTTCAGTTCATAGGCCACTTAACCAAGAAGAACTAGACCCAGACTTGAGAGAAGCAAGCATCACACAGATACTCTGGACTTTGAGCTGGACAAGGTTAGGACTGGATTTGAGTCTTGGGGAAATGTTGTGCCACAAGTCAGGTGTTCTGGAAGCGGACAGTGAGCTAGGACTTTCGTACACAGGGTATTATCAGTGATCAATGCCTGTGGAGGGTAGCAGGGGGGAGGGGAGGGGGGGGAGGAGAAGTTCAACTGCCTTGCAAGTTCAATGAAGCCTTGCTTGACCCCATCAGAGCTGTCCCACCTTAGCCTGAAATAGCTGGACCTATATAACCTCACCTCAATGCGTTCATGGATGTGGGAAGTGCAGGCAGCTCTTGACAGCTGAGGCAAACCCTGAAATTGCTACCAGCTACCAGCTGAGTATTGATTGACAGCACTCTCAGCAGCTGGAAAAACCAGGTCGTTTCCAAGGGGGAGTCTGGGTGGCATGGTTCCGTGCGCACTACAGGGCAGCTGCGTTCTGTGTATGGAAGGATGAGTGAAACAGGTATCGGTGTCAGGAAGACAGACTGTGACGGAGATGGGCTATACGTCCACCAGCCCTATTCCTTCCTCGTAAACACAGAGGAAGACTGCATTTCCCAGCTAAAGAAGCCAGGACTCAAGTTGTTGTAGGTCAGGGGTGGGCAAACTTTTGACTCGAGGGCCACAGTGGGTTCTTAAACTGGACCGGAGGGCCGGAACAAAAGCATGGATGGAGTGTTTGTGTGAACTCATATAAATTCAAAGTAAACATCATTACATAAAAGGGTACGGTCTTTTTTTTTTTTTTAGTTTTATTCATTTCAAATGGGCCGGATCCAGCGCAAGAAATAGAGAGTCCGGGGTCGGTGTTGATTCAGGGAGAAGCCAGTATCTGTGTCTGGCATGCTGACCTGCCAGACATGCCAGAGGGAGTCCATTATCTCGTCACCTGTCTGCATGTATCCGATCCTGGGCTTTCTCCGACCTAACATCGGCCGTAGTTTGCCCACGGCTGTTGTAGGTGGAGGGAACAGCACCAGGAGTCAGACCTGTGGGATCAGACCAACCCTGGGTTCAGCAACCTCGGTTCTTGGGTTCTGGCTAGGGAGGAATTCAGAGCAAACTGTAAGAGAACGTTTCTTTGTTAAATTATAGAGGCAGAATAGTGATTTCTAGATGAAATGGGCTTAGGAAATGAGGTATGAAAGTTAAAAAAAAAAAGGTCTTTGGAGCTTGGGAATGAGAAAACTAAAGGTAACTTGCCTGGAGCAGGGAAGGGGAGGGAGAAGGGAAGGGGAAAGGCCTGAGCATGCTCCTGGGAGGGAGAGCACACTGGGTCCTCCATCCTAAGGGTTTTAAGAGCAGAATTTTAGGGGAGGTCCCAGGGGAAGACCTCCCTAGAATATTCAGCAGCTTTCCAGGTGTGTCCTTGCAGGGTTGTGGTCCCCACCAGGGCAGGGGCCCATCATTCCAGGCAGCTGGTCCTGAGGTCAGCCTGTGGCTGGTTTGGGCGCTTTTCTGGGCCTGGAGCTGAAATACAACTGAGGCCTGATGTCATCTCTAGGGAGGAAAGGCCAGGGGCTCCAAACCTCATGACCAGCGATCTGCTAGGGGAGGGAAGGTCACCCTGGGGGCGAGGTCCCACCCCACCATTGATTGTCCATTGCTGGGCACCTGGGGCTCTCCACCCGGTGGTCTTCTGTACCTGGCCCATCGTCCTGGCTCCGCACATGTCTGTCTGCCTACAACAAAGTCAAGATATATCTGATTCTGTACCTTTTAAGTCATGTTACTGAAACTGTGGCCAGCCGGCCAGCTGCATGACAAACATCTGAAGGACTGGTTAAAATGCACATCCAGAGGCACTTCTGTGAAGATAAAGCAGGCAACTGGACCAAGAGAAATACTTTCTCCTTTGAAGTAAATGGCTCGGCCTGAGGGGAAAACCCAGTGAGCCCTCACGGGGAACAGGCTGCCTAGGGGAAGGCACATCAGGGCAGTGAGGGCATGAGGGCAGGCCAGATAGAGCAAAACCAAAGCAGATACTGAGGAGAAGTTGGAGGTTTGGAATGCAGGAGCAAAAAAGCCGGTACTATGAAATAGAGATAAACAAAGACTTTAATGGAAGTAAGATCAGAGGGAAAATGATAGATGCAGGAGACAATTTCTTTGTAGAGGAAAAGCAAAATAATACAACAGAAAAGAATACTCCAAGGTCTAATTTTTTTTAAATGTTGCAGAAATAAAGGAAGATTTGAGTCTATGGTCACAATGGGCACATCAAGTCACAGGAACAATTGGCACTTGGCACTGGGGCATGTAGTAGACTCTCATAGTACTTGTTGATTTTTTTTAATCCTCATCTGAGGATATTTTTTCCATTGATTTTCTTTAGAGAGAGTGGAGGGGAGAGAGCAGGGGGTATGGGGAGAGAGAGAGAGATGTGAGAGAGACACATTGATTGGTTGCCTCCCACATGCACCCCGACGGGGCCTGGGGATTGAGCCTGCAACCAAGGTACTTGCCCTTGACCAGGAATCCAATCCTCCAGCCTTTGGTCTGTGGGCCGACACTCTAACCACTGAGCAACCGGCCAGAGCTGCTTTTTGTATTAATACATTTCACAGCAAGGATTGCAAAGTTTGTCTGTGCTTCTTTAGTGTGTGTGCACTTTTCCCAGAAGTACTGCAGTACTGGGTTAATGTGCAGAGTGGATGGAGCAAGCTCTATTCCATCTCCCTGCTCCAAAAATACCTTTAATATATTGTCCTCAGCTAGAGGACATACCAGATAGTAAACTGATAAGAACAAATACTACACTTGATCTTAGCCAAAAGGCCAGGAAGCAATCTCTCTGTGCCTCTTTTTAAAAAACTATGTTTTTATTGATTTCAGAGAGGGAGAGAGAGAGAGAGAGAGAGAGGAATATCAATGATGAGAGAGAATCATGGATCGGCTGCCTCCTGCATGCCCCACACTGGGGATCAAGCCTGCAACCCGGGCATGTGCCCTGACCAGGAATCGAACCGTGACCTCCTAGTTCATGGGTCAAAGCTCAACCACTGACCCACACTGGCTGGGCCTAGACATAGTTTTTGATCCTTTGCCTCTAATACACCATTAGCTGCAGCTGTAATGAAGACTTAAGCCAGTTTCTGGTTAGCTGAGGAAATCCACATGGAAGCCTCTGGAATCCAGTGCCAATCAGGGGGGCTGGCAGGCACTACCAAGTATGCAAAGATACATACATAAGGACTTTTTAGTACTGTTTGCAATAGTGAAAAGCTAGAAACACATGTCCACTGGTTGGTTAAGAAAGCATTGAATAGTCAAACAATGAGTACTATATAGTAACCAAAACATTGTTGTAGAAGGACAATTACCTGGAATCATATTCATGAAACATTGTTGAGTGGAAAAAAACAGATTATAACAGAGGATATATAAATTAATCCGATGTGTTACTTAAAACCATATGTACGGGGGGAAAGCCTTTAAGGACCAAATCAAATTATTAGACACTAGAGGCCCTATGCATGAAATTCATGCACCAGTAGGGTCCCTAGGCCTGGCCTGCTATCAGGGCCAATCTGATTCCCCACCTTCCCACCTCCCTGCCTCCTCCTTCCCTCACTCCCTCAGTGCCCGCTGTTGCTGCTGATTGCCTGCCATGTTCTGTGCCACCCCCTGGTGGTCAGCACACATCATAGTGAGCAATTGGACTAGTTTTCCTGGTCGAACACCTGAGGGGACACTTCGCATATTAGCCTTTTATATGTATAGATGGGTTATCTCCTTGTAGTAGTGACTAGATGGTTTTAATTATTATTACTACTGTTGTTATTTAATTTCATGTTTAGTGTTGTCCATCTGCACTTTCTAATCTTTCTACAACAAACTATATTGTTTGATTAGTATTTTTTTATTTTTAAAAATATATTTTTATTGATTTCAGAGAGGAATGAAAAGGGAGAGAGAGAGAAAAACATCAATGATGAGAGAGAACCATTGATCTGCTGCCTCCTGCTCACCCCCGACTGGGGATTGAGCCCAAAACCCGGGCATGTGCCCTGACCAGGAATCGAACCATGGCCTCCTGGTTCATAGGTTAACGTTCAACCACTAAGCCAAGCCGGCTGGGCGATTAGTGTGTTTTTTAAAAGATACATTAAAAACAAAAGAAGAAAAACTATCTGACCATACTTCTACTTCCACCTCCAATCCTACCAATACCAGAAACATTTTCTCAAGTCACCAAAGCATTTGGTTCAAATCAAAGCATTTGGTTCATATTAAAAGAAGAAGCTGTCTAATTTCCTATCTTGGAAAAGATGATGTAACTGTGCAGACCAGGAGGGTGGAGAAGAGTTTAAACTTTGTTCAGCATTCATTATTTTCTCTTTTTTCCGCAGCATTCTTGTGGGTGAACCAAACCAGTAAAGTCCTAGAAGATTCAATTGGGCAAGCATGGAGTTTAGTTGGCTGGATTTCAAGAAAGTGCAGTGTGCTCTTTGCTTATAATGAGAATGTATCTATCAATTTCAAAAAAACATAAAAAAATAAATTGTATTTATCTTGCACTATTTTTGTCTTATTTTCTCCTTTAAAACATGCAATTGAAAAATGGGAATACCCTTATTACTTTCTTGATTATAAAAGTAACACATGCTTGTTGCAAATTTTTTTTTCATAAAATACAAAAAGAAGGAAAAGTATCCATAATCCTAGAAAAAGTATCCATAACATAAACATTGTTAACATTTTGGTGTGTCTCTTTTCAAATCTTTTTATGCTCATAGTACCAGTTTCCCAAAATCTTTTCTAGGAAACAATACTTGTTTTAATAAAAACGTTATGAGACAATAGGGGCTCTGAGGTCAATTAAGCTTTTTAAATATATTTTTTATTGATTTCAGAGAGAGGAAGGGAGAGGGAGAAACATCAATGATGAGAGAGAATCATTG